GGGGGCATCCGGAGCTTGAACTCACGAGCCTCTGCACTCTAGGGCAGCACGACCGCTCGGTGAAAGGCAGCCCGTGCTGCCCCGCAGGCCATGGCATCTTTGCTCCGGTTGCCTTGTGGAAGCACCAGCCGCACCTTTAAACCGTACCGCGGCCCAGCCGGGGACCTCCGACCAGCGTGGAGAAGCCGTGTGCTTCGTGGGCCACCTACTTTCTCCTCCCGAGCTGGGAGCAGCGGCACTTTGTCACGCAGGTGAATCGGCAGCCTCTGCTTTTCCCAGAAAGCCAGAGAACCGAAAATCCTGGACTGAATTAAGTGGCAGTATTTTTGTTTTGCACTTAACTACTACACACACCCACTGTGTAGAAACCTCCACAGATTCAAACAAACTTTATTCTTGTACAACTAATTTTAATCAGTTCTTACTGTAAAATCTGGAGTCAGTGCTTTTTTTTTTATAAATAATATATATGATGTATATGAAATGTATATCTATAGTATGTCTGTTCGGAGACAGACAAGACTGCACATGAAAATGCAGATAAAAGTGGTTTGTAGAAAATCATAAGGTACTGGACTTGGATACACAGCAACTTAGGTAATCATCTGATAGACGAGCAGATGAAAAAGATTTGATTGCCTAAGAACGAGGTCGCAAATCCCTCTTTGCAGAAAAGGTTCCAGAAAGCCGTTCTTTACAACCAAAGAACTTATGTAAGACTGAACGTGTTTGCTGTCCATTCTTGTTTCATGTGTACATATCTGTCTGACTGCAAGTTTGGTGCCATATTCCTCTTGGCTGCCAGGCCCCTTGTAGCTAGCTGTTCTCTGTCCTGTTGCATAAGCACACTGAAAAACCCCACAGCTATCCTCCGTGGTCTTCCACCTGGCCCGGCACCTGCTGACCAGACATGGTACCGGAACTGTTGACACTGCCTGGGGCTCCGACTCCAGCCTTCCTCGTCCCTTGGTTTGGCCTGGCCAGGCAGGTGGGATGCGGAGAGCAGTATTACTGTAGGAAAACACGAGGACACGCCTGGAGTTGGGTTTGGGGAGGGAGGGGGATGTTGATTTTTGTCTTTTTGTGGGTTTTTTTTCCGTTTTGGATTGGTAGGTTCCGTTGTGTGGTTTTGCTGTTGTTACTTTACTTCCATTGTTGGGATGAGCTCTACAGGTCACAGGTGCCCGCTCTGCCATGTTTGCAGCAGACGATTGAGCGCAGAGGACCCCACTGTCCACGTCTTCGCTTGCAGAGTTCTGCAAGGGATGACATGTGTGGAGATTGTGACTGGAGTACTTTATGCACCTGTTCTGTAGAAGCCTGTGGGATTGGTGTGGATGTACAGCAACAGATGCCTTGTGGGAGAGAGAAAAGGCGTACAGCCTGCTGTACCTTTTTCTTTAAGTTCTTAGCATCAGTAAATGAGTAAGATTTTGGAGACTAATGAAAAGCTGCTGTTCATGATTTTGTGTATAGTGAGCCGACTGTAATATTTTACTATTGTCTGTTTAAAAGAAAAAAAGAAAAACTGTAATTTATATCCCCTTTCAACTTTATTGTATTTAATTGGTTCAGACTGTGTGTGTGTGTGTGTGTGTGTGTGTGTGTGTTTTAGAATACAGACTGCCTAATTCAGGTTTTAAAACATCAATGGTTTGTCTTTAATAACTCTGCCATTAGCTGCAGATCTAACTTCCCTTGTTCGTATGTATATGCATGTCCCTGTGGCCTGAACAAAAATAGTAACAGGCAACATTCATTGAGGGTTTACTGTGTACTAGGCGCTATTCCCAGCATTTGATATTTATCATCTTGCTTAATCCTCACAGCAGTGGGTGCCATGGGTGCTGCCATTATTAAGTGTTTGATGCTGGAAGACCAAGGGAGGGGGTGGGTGAGCGGGACGGTGGCATGCTTGCCTCAGTCTCCTCCCTGTGTCATGTCTGGTGACGTGTCTTGGAAGAGCAGACCCCTGAAGGGAGGATGGGACACCTTCAGAGTGCAGAAGGGCTAGGCCAGTCTCACAGGTTCCAGACTGACCAACCAACGTGACATCCACAGCAGACAGGCCAAGGGGTGTGTTCCCCGTTCACAGTGCTCAGACGAGTCTTCGAGAGAGCAGTAGCAGTGCTCAGTCACCTGACGACTAGTGGCTAACGACAGCTTCCTGTGAGAGGTTTATCTTAAAATGGTAGTGCACAATGTTTTCAGAAAAATCTCTGTTGTTCGTGGTAGCCTTCCTTTTTTGTTTTTGTTTTTTTAAAGGTTTTATTTATTTGAGGGACGCCTGGGTGGCTCAGTCAGTTGGGCATCTGCCTTTAGCTCAGGTCATGATCCCGGGGTCCTGGGATCGAGTCCTGCATCGGGCTCCTTGCTCAGCGGGGAGCCTGCTTCTCCCTTTGCCTCTGCCTGCTACTCTGCGTGCTTGTGCTCTCTCTCTCTCTCGCTGACAAATAAATAAAATCTTAAAAAAAAAAAAAGGTTTTATTTATTTGAGGAAGAGAGCGCGAGTGGGGGAAGAGGCAGAGGGAGCAGCAGACTCCCTGCTGAGCAGGGAGCCCGATGCGGGGCTGGATCCCAGGATCCTGGGATCATGACCTGACTGAGCTGAAGGCAGACGCTTAACCGACTGAGCCACCCAGGCATCCCTGCGGTAGCCTTCCTGAAGAGGTCAAGAATTAGACCTAGCCTAGTCTGGACAGACAAGTGTCTTCTGTAGACTTCTGGGAGAAAGTAGAGAGCAGGGAAAGTCCAAAGTTACTTGAATTCCGAAGCACAGGATTGAGGGAGGAGAACAGCTATTTAATATTTAAATAAATGATGAGTACAAATAGAATTCAAGACAAAATGAGCAAATCGTCATTCCTTCTGCTAGCATGAGATCGACGGTATTTGGTCATCAACTTTGTCGTTATGACTTGGGAAGAGCAAACTGGTTTTAGGGTGTAGGATAGTTAAATACAGGCACGTGTTTAACAGCTAACTTCCAGTATAACTAGTGTCCTAACATTTGTTTATAGTTATTTGGACACAGATTTTTATCATAATAAGAATTTTGCCTTGTGTTTCTAGGGCACCAACTTATAGGAAGTATTTTATTTCATAAAAATACCTTTAGAGTTAAGTAAGAGCAAGATAATAATTCTACTTATCCTGCTCTAATCAATACTTATTTTGAAAATTACAATATTGAGGTTTTTGAATGGTTTGAAAAAAAAAAAAGACAACTAATGACCCGATTGATCTTTATTTCTAAACAGTAAAGCTTTCTGGTCATGTCATTAAGAAGTCTTTCTTGAAAGAAGATGTAATTGAGTAAGAGTTCTTGCTTGCTTTTCTGGAACAAAAGGAGCCCAAAACAGAAAGGATGCCACCAATACACAGTCATGTGGAGAATGTTTGTGTTCACCCTAGAGCTTCTTACTAACACGAGTTTCTTTCCATAATATTGAGCCTACCTCCTACATTGTTTTAAAAGATTTTCATTTATTTATTTGCCAGAGAGAGCACAAGGGGGAGCAGCAGACAGAGCAGGCAGAGGGAGAAGCAGACTCCCCTCTGAACAGGGAGCTCAACGCGGGACTCAATCCCAGGACCCTGGGATCATGACCCGAGCCGAAGGCAGACGCCTAACCGATTGAGTCACCCAGGCACCCCTACCCTACCTTTAAAAATAACAAGTCAGCCTGTGGTACTCAGCTGTTCTAACCCGGAGGGAAGGTAGTGTTCTAAAGCTCAACAGTCTCCCACCAGAGAGCTGGGCGTTACCGCCCCATCCCACGAGTGGGGAACCCGGAATGCAGTGAACCCTGCAGAAATGCCAGGCCGGCAGGCGAGCTCTGCCCGGCAGAACATTATGAACTGGAATGAAAACAAAATCCAAACTTCTAAAATTCAACCCTGCTAATCCCCTGAGATGAGGAGAAAGATCACTGTAGATTCCTACTCCCCCCCCCCCGGCCCCCGCCATACAGTGAGTTAATTTCAGTTGAAATAAAATTTAGTCTTTATCTTTCAGATGTTCTGGGGCACACACTCACCTCTGTGTACTCTTGGAAAAACAAGTTATTTTTGCCCTCTGTGAGGCTCAGTGTCATTGCACACAGTTCTTAGAAGATGGTAGCTCCAGAAGATGCTTCGGCTGCCCCCAGTCACCATAATGTGAGCCCAGTTGGCAACAACCACCATCTTGGAGCTTACCATAGGTTTTCTCTGCAACAGAGTGTGACGGAGAAAGGAACTCTTAAATCCTTAGGGGACCCTATTCACGAAGGCATTGAGAGGCTGACTAATAGAACAATGAATGTTTTACAAAGAAAAAGGTAAGTTTTGAAGTTGGGAGTCTCTGGAAGAAAATCAACTTGGAGAGGGGGAAAAAAAGATACAGTTTGGTTTTAGAATAGTATAAACCAACTCAACCCTTTCACGATACCTAAAACACCCGTAACTACTTAGATTTTAAAACTGGAATACATGGGTGTTTGTAACAACTTCAAACCATTATTTTCGCTCTTCAGTCTCCTAAATATCTGCCTGAACCAAACCATACACACATGTCCTTAGGTTTCTTTGTTAGAGTTTCTTTTCTTAGTCTAGCAGGGGCTTTTGGGAATAGCACAGTAGAGTAGATGTATTTTTCTTTGACTAAGTATCCGAGCCAAAAACCACACCTTCACGTAATTAATTAGTCACCCTTGTTGATCCAGGATAATCTGTATCTAGTGCACAGTCAACCACAAATAAGCCAAGCTGCTTAAAAACACCAGAGTTAAAATACTAGCCACAGCAACTGCCAAGAAAGGAGCATTTCACCAAGAATGAGGCTATAAGATCTAGCCTCAGTACCACTTGCATTCAAGACTGTCCTGTTGATGCTACGAATGCCAGTTTCCCACATTTTCCCCTAGTCCTTTTATATGCAGAAGTATATATTTGTGAGAAAGCTAGAGTATTAGTTACCTATTGCTGCAAAATGAAGTACCCTTCAACTTGGTAGCTTAAAACAGCCATAACCATCTCACGCGACTTCCGTGGGTCCAGAATTCAGGAGTGGGCAGTTCTGGCTGCAGTTTGCTCAGAAGTGGTAGTCAGGATGTCAGAGCTGCCATCATCATTTGAAGGCTTGCTTGGGACCGCTTCCTCACCGAGTAGACCCCTTCATGCTGTTTGAGTGTCCTCATGATGTGGCGGCTGGCTTCCCCAGGGAGTGGTCCCGGAGGGCACACAGAAGCCACCTTGCCTTTTATGACCTGGACTCAGAAGTCCACTCTGTCACTTCCATCACATTCTACTCATTAAAGTGAGTTCCTAGAACAGCCCCACTGACAGGAAGGAAATTAGGCTCTTCCTTTTGAAAAGAGGAATGTCTAAGAATTTGCAGACATATTTTTAAATCTCCGTAACTAATTAGGGGTTACATCGCTGAGGCCTTGGGATAAAGCAAAGCTAACTAGAACTTATGAGTGAATGTAGGAATTCACTTATTTATATAAGCAGTAGGATCAAAAGGAAAGCCACATTTTCGTGGAATAAAAAAGAGATATTAATAAAAAAGTGAAAATAGTAGAATCATTTGAATGTGTGAGTTATAGCCAATAATCGAACTGAACCAATATTCCTGGCAGAGGCAAATGATCTGAAACTATTAATTATGTTTCTATTTATAGCTATATTTTCACATTTGATTCTTTTCAGATTTGCTTCATTAGAGGCACAAGCACATGAATAGGTTTGATGGTTTTCCTCAAAATAGGAAATGAATCTTAGGGAATTCAATCACATCTTATTAGGGCAAGTAATATTAATGATTAGCTTTAGAAATAAAACTGCCAACAAAAGAGTTTATAGGATTTTTTTTCTGAAGATACTGACAGTGGTAGGATTATTTTATTATTAAAATGTGATACATATCCAAATGTTTGGCTATAAGCAAAAGGGGCTCAAAGCTCTTGAAGCTTATAAAATGAAACTTTTTTTAAGATTGATTGATTTATTTTAGAGAGAGAGCATGAGGGGGAGAGGGAGAAGGAGAGAGAATCTCAAGCAGACTGCTCTGAGCACAGAGCCCAACTCGGGGCTCCATCTCACAACCCTGAGATCATGACCTGAGCTGAAACCAAGAGTAAGATGCCTAATCAACTGTGCCCCCTATAAATGAAACTTTAACTCTAAAACAGGATAACTGGAAAAAAACTTAAAATGCAGGGATCTGGGGGGAGGAGCTAAGTGGAGTAGTAGGAGGATCCTAGTCTTGCCTCATTCCTCGAACAGAGCTAGAAAAGTCAAATCATTCTGAATACCCAAGAAATCGATCTGAGGACTGACAGAACAAACTGCATTAACTAGAGGGAGAGAAGAGACCACATCCTGGAAGGTAGGAAGTGGGGAGACATGGCTTGGGGGAGAAATGGATTTCTGGTGCTACAGAGGGGACGGAGCCCTGGTCATGGAGAGGGGCGAGAGAGAGAGAGAGAGAGAGAGAAAGCGCAGCACACAGGGAATAGCTCAAGGAAAACACTTCCCCCAAAGCCATTGAGTTTTTGCAACCAGGGCTCAAAGACGAGTTGTAGAGGTCAGTGGCATGGCTGGTATAGAGCCCTGAGGGTGCTGCATTGCTCCTGTGGAGAAGGGGGGGCAGGTAATCCCGGGGCA